TCCCTTCCAACCCAAACCATTCTGTGATTAGGAGTATCATGCTTATTTACTTCTAGTGGCTGTAACAGAATGAAATCTTTGTGATTCATTCCTTAGAGTGTATTTGCAGCTCATTCTTAGGACCAAGGATTGAGAGACTGTAAAAAATAAAAATACTTAAAAAAAATTAAGTGTCAGAGGGGAGGTTGTACCAGAGGATACTTGGTCATTATGATCCCAGTAAGAAAGGCACTCAGCCTCTCTAAAGTATCAGTTAAAATGTGATTTATTTCAGCTAACACTCTAGAGAAAGGGAATATAATATAAATAATAGTACAGCCTTTTAGATGCTGGGAGCACCAAGCTGTGCAGCAGTGAATGGGCCTCTGATCCACACGTAGCATGCAGTGCAGATCCCATCTGTAGAAAGGGTTACCCCGTTTTGGTTATTGAAGCTTTCTGGGATTTTGTTACAGGAAAGCAACTCTGTTTATCATTCCCACTGTCAAACAGAAAGAATGTTCACATGAGAACTTCTTGCTGTGCTTTTAGATAAAGGCAAGGACATGCAGGTGGCATAATCACTGGTACCAAGGGGGAGCTGCCTCCAGTCTCCTCTGCTACAATAAGTTTATCCTGTGGCCGAGGAATATGTGCAGCACAACCCAGACCTGAAGGCCAAGCTGTACGTGCAGCACAGCGCAGATCTGGGACTACCTAGCTTAACTGTTATGTGAACTATTAACTCCTCACTAATACAGTGGTCTTCCAGTCAGGATCACTGCAGGGGTGATCAGTTTTATTTGGTGAACTTGGTGAATGTAAGATTTGTTAATTTTTAAAATTTGTTAATCTCTGTAATATTCAGAAAAAGTTAAATTTCATCCAGAAGTCTCTCACCCCTAGTTTTTCCCCTTGGGTTGCTTTGTCTCAGTTATATGGTTCTGTTACCTTGGTACCTTGCATTCACTTGGTTTCTCTGAGTTTTCCAGGTATGTGGAAAACCTTTGCCTTGTGGTAATCACACATGTGAACAAGTTTGTCATGCTGGTCCCTGTGGAGACTGTCCTCGTTCTGGGAAAAGGTCCTGTCCGTGTGAAAAATCAAGTAAGCCACTTTTTTTTTTTTTTTTTTTTTTTTTAAATAAATTTAAAGGGAAAAAAAATGCTTCTAGTCTTTGATAGTCAGTAGCTTAGGTTAATTCTGCAGCACAAGGCCCATAAAAAGTTCTTCCAAGCAGTGAACTGTGGCAACTTATATTAACTTTTTTGCTTAATCCTTTCAAAGCTTTAGTTAGTACCAGGGATTTAATTTGCGATGTGAATAATTGAGTAATTCTAGAGAAGCTTTTAAAAAGTGAGAAAGAATTGACATTTGAAGTCATATTATGCAGTGCATTTTTTTCTGAATATTTTGGCTTTTTTTTTTTCTAAATGTTTGTTTGTCCTTCTCTCTCTTCATCTAGAGTTTACATTGCCTTGTACAGAAGATGTGCCCACTTGTGGTGATAGTTGTGACAAAGTTCTGGAATGTGGCATCCATAAATGTTCACAGCGCTGTCATCGAGGTCCCTGTGAAATATGCAGACAGGTTAGTCTCACTGTAGCAGGTTCACATTTTGTTAGGGTTTTTAAACACTGTATGGCTGGAACAGTGCAAGGAAAATTAAGTCATATCCATCATAAAATCTATGACTTTCTGTTCATTAAAAGCAACATACTTTTTCGCTATTCCCCACTCCCTGCACCAATACAATTCTAAATTAATAGTTGAGCAATATGTATCTTAATTGAGGTATGAATGAGGATTTCATTGTTTTGGGGTGGGTTTTTTAAATTAATTATGCCTTAAAAGACACATATGTTTTCCCCCAGCTCTTCTAGCTTCCTTGCTGCTTTGTCTTACTGTGCTGTTTCTTCTTTAGTGAAATGGAAGATGCTGTAACATGACATTATTTCCTTGTTAGTAATAAAATAATATTTTACTCTTGCTCTGAATATCTATGGAGCTTCTGAGGTTTGGCCTATAAAGCTGTTGCTCTGTTTGCTCTCAGTTGTCTCTTTCTGAACCAGCTTTGACTACAGAGTCTATGGTGAAATAATTTAGCACATGATAGCTGGGATGAAGGTCAGATAAGCCTGCTTACCTACTTCTTAAGTTATCTGTATACACAGTAGATGAATCTAGTTTACTGTGCAGGGGACGTACTTTTTTGCATGAATTTGTTTTGCATTTATGCTTGACATCTTGCATCCACACTTGAGTGGTTCCCTTGAAGTGGCTTCCCACTTGATGAGGCCAAGGTTACAGTGAGGTTCTGTCTGGAGCACAGTGTTTGCAATACTGACTCAAGGTCCCCAAGTAGTTATTGCACAGATAGGTAATCTGCTCAGAGCATGTGATATACTTCCTGTTGTGTTAGAGCACTGTACTGTTAATTTCCCATGGAGTTTTCTTTACAGCTAGTAGTTAGAACATTTTATTTTCCACTATTTTTTTCTTTTTTTTTTTTTGTTTGTTTGTTTGTTTGTTTTACAAATACCCTGCTTTTTTCCCCTCTCTTGCTGGCCAGGAAGTTGAAAAGCAGTGTCGCTGTGGAAAGCACACTAAACGCATGCCATGTCATAAGCCATATCTGTGTGAAACAAAGTGTACTAAAATTCGTGATTGCCAAAAACACCAGTGTAGGAGAAAGGTAAGTGTCCAGAGATGATCTTTCTCAAATATATTGTTTAAATTACATTTTTTTATTTATATATAAATCACATCAATGTGGTGTTCTACCTCATGTTATTTTATAGAAATAAGACTTTTCAGTGTCATTCAGACGAATTTGCAGCATACCAGAATTCTTTGAACAGCATGTCACTAAGAAAAACTCCATGGCCTTAAAAACTGGGAGGGGATTTTCACACCTTTCCAGCTCCAGAAGGCAGTTTTGCTTTCAGATACTTGAGCAGTTACTGATGCCTTGTGCATTCTGAAGTACTTATTTCCTTACTTTGTAGGAAGAGCTGAGGATCTCTCATAACTTTTTAAGGGACATACTCTTATTTTTGACAATGCAGCATTCCACCCACCTTCTAATGTGCGTCACTGCAAACAGCAGTGGTCTGACAATTGGGAATTTAAGTTTTGTTTCCCTTCTCATTTGAAGTCAAAGGAAGAGTTGACAGCTCAGACGTATCTTTTCAGTTTATTGATTAATGAAGATCTGAAAATTGCCTGCAATGTATAAATTAAGACATGAAAATTGGAGTTCTTATAGAAAGGCATGAAAAATGCAGTTTTATTCTTGGATATTTTTGAGTATTATTGTTACAATGAATTACTTTATGTGGAAAGATGGCAAAACTAGTAAAAGCAATATTGACATCTTTAATTTATGCAAAAAAATCCAGGTTTCTCTTCCTAATTGCCATGCTTTCTTGCACAGTTTGGAAGGAGGGTACCTTTCAAGTTAATAGAAAAGATGGGGTTCTCCCCTGACCATTGTGGTGGTGGTGTGATGTGTTTGTGATTCTTCCTCATTAGTACTTTATGTAAGAACAGGAATTAGGTAACTGATCCTAAAGTTATCTACCCTTTAGTATAAAGGTAAAAGGTGGGTTTTTTTAAAAAAGTGGTTAGCAACATTTTTGTGCTAGAGACAATATAGTATAAAAGTGGAAGGAATTGCAGAGTAATGGGGCAAACTGTTGGATATCCTACATGTTATCTTCTGAAATTATTTCAGATTAGAATACAAGAATTTGAAATTTTTAAATGTTCTTATGCTTTTTAGAAGCCCTCTGCCTTTTTAGTGTGTTGAAATTATGCTTTCAAGTGTGTCTTTTCTTGTTATTTTATAAGTTTAATTTTTTAAAACAACTTTACAGATGGCCTTCTCTCTATACCTGGCATGAATTTGAGGAAATTTGACTGAATTGCATGAAAATCTTTTTTAAGAAGTGTTGAAAAAATGAGATAGTACAAGTGGGCAAATTTATACCAGAAATGTCTTGGGTTTTCAGTTATATAGAGTGTATTTTTTTTTTTTTTAATAGTGCTGTTCTGGAAACTGTCCACCTTGCGATCAAGTCTGTGGGCGGACTCTAGGCTGTAGAAATCACAAATGTCCTTCAGGCTGCCACAGAGGTAAGGACAGGTGAAGGATCCCTGTAGTGATGGAATATTGTTTATTTTTGACAAACTTTGTGTTTGCATGATTTTGTGTGGTGCTTAATGAATTCTCTCCTTTGTTGCATGTGGACTTTCCATGGGGGTAGTGTGTTTGAAAGGTTTGTAGTGCTGGTTAGAGCTTAAGGACTTACATAATGACAACCTGAGTTTTCACCTGGTAATTCTGCTTTAGCATTGTTCCTCTGAAAATGCTCTGTCCCCTTTCCAGCTGCTTAATTCAAAAAAACGTATTTTGACTTTTTTTGCCAAATAATTCTGTTCACTGAACATGCATAACAAAGTCCAATTACATACAGAAATAACTGTGCTGGTGGAGTCTGGATGGTTTTTAAAAATCCTAGAATACAATGTGCGATATGAGTGGGCTTAAAATAAAATTTAAAAAAAAATTATGGAATTTGAATGAGTATTGGTATCTTACTGGTAAAAGCGAAAATAAGAACTTGTTACTGTCTATATGAAGGATAACAAAAAAGGTTACTTTCTGCATCTAGTGACTTTTGTTAAAACGATGATGAAAACTACCAGAATTACCTGGCAGTTTTTATCCTGGCCAATTGCTTTGACATTTACTTCATAGGTGATTAAATTGTAATGACTGAAAAAGTGTCTGCCCTCTCAGCAGTTTTCCCCACAGAAGCTGCTGCCCTGCTGAAACAGCAGCTGAGTAGCCAATGTAATTTTTCTTAGCATTCTGGATTATAAATTGCAATAACTCAGGAAATAATTTACAACTTGTTCAGCCAATCTTGCTTTTGAGGCAGTGATCCTTAAGAGGACAGGACAGGTAAATGTCACAACTCAGAATTGCTTAAAAAGTTGTGCTGTTGTTAACGCTTTCAAAGCATTGCTTTCTTTAAAGTTTCAGAAAGCAACATGATTAGAAAGCCAAAACCCCACGTCTGAATTTTCTTTTTTAGAAGATGCATATTATTATTGCTAATTACTCAATAATAAAACTTAGCAGTTGGCACGTGATGAAGAAATAGTGTGGGAGAGGTATAAATTAAAACATATATTAAAAAAGAAATCTGTAAAATATTTATCGGGTTAGTAGCATGAGTAACTTTGTAAAGGAGGAGGATCTTTTCAAAAAAGCATTCGTTATATGTAGATGAACGTTTCTTTAGGATCTTACAAAATCTGTGAAACTTTATTGTACCAATTTTTAAATGTCTCCTTTATCTTTTGCATATAGGTGAAAGATGACATGTCTTTATATGTATGTAAGACTGAAATATAAACAGCAAATATTTAAATGTGCAATTCAAATGATTGGGCTTTAATAATGTTGACTTCTGTTTAGAATGTGAGAGGGATTGTTTCAAACTTGGTATCAGTTAACAACTGTAGAATAATCAAGATTATTATTACTATTCTTTAAGAATGGTGAAATTCTCCTTCCCAAGGGGGATTTGAAACTAAGTAGAAATAAAAAAATTAACAGCCATATATTATTTAGATCAAACAGAGTAGGACAATTATATCATGTGCATATTCAGAGTTATGTTTGTTACTGGTTTTTATGATAAACAAAATTATAATATTGTTAATATATTTATTTTTAGGTAGTTGTAATCCATGTCCAGAGACTGTAGATGTGAAATGCAATTGTGGAAAAACTGTAATTAAAGTGCCCTGTGGCAGAGAGCGCACCATCAAACCTCCCAAATGCAAACAGCTGTGCAGGTCAGTATAGAAAATGTGTGTGTATTTCTAGTTTAAGGTGTTCTTGAAGAAAGCAGTAAAATATAATTTTAAAAGTAAAAAATGATTCCTTTAATATTATTACTTCTCAGTTTTCTGTACTCTGGACCATGCAGATGAAGATTAGCAATAATCCTTCCTATCAGACACCTCTTTGAAGCTGTAGTTTCATGCCCAGCTTGCTGCTGTCAAGGGGGAGGTTCTGTCCCACCAAGCACTGCTAATCCTGTAGTCCCACTCCTAACTTCAAGTTGTATCTGGTATGTTTTGAAGTACCTCCATTGAGGCAGTTTACCTAGAAAACTTGACTAGCAAAGGGGAAAAGGAGAATATTTTCTGCTGGGCTGTAGCAAAATTGCTTAGTGCAGAGTAGAATTAGGATTGAAATAGCTATTTGAATATGCAAACCCAACTTTGATTTTGATTTAATTTAGAACTCCTGTATAGTTTTACTTTACTATTAACCACTGCTGAGGTGAGAAGTAAACTAATTAAAAAAAAAAAAACAACTTGTCTCAATTCTTTGTATTTTGAGCATAACTGTCCAGTGACTGTAACTTCATATTCCTTGCTGTCATACTGATTCATTCTTGGATTTTACTTCAGTCGACCACCTACCTGTCACCACTCTACCCAGGAGAAACACTTTTGCCACTTTGGTCGGTGTCCTCCATGTCGTCAGCCCTGCCAGAAAACATTAACCTGTGGTCATTTGTGCCCTGTTTCTTGCCACGACGAAGCACTTGTGAAGCAAACTGCCTTAGTAAGTAAATAGTGAAAAATGGTGTTTTATTTGTGTTCTGAAGAACGAGCAACAGTTGTTTGACCTTAATGTTATATTGGAGGCTTTTGGAGTTCAGAGTAAATAAATAGTAAAACACATAGAATCATAGAATGTTGTGAGTTGGAAGGGACCCACAAGGATCAAGTCCAACTCTTGCCCTAGCACAGGACAATCCCAAGATGCAGACCATGTGTCTGAGGGCATTGTCCAAATGCTTCTTGAATATTGTCAGGTTTGGTGCCATGACCACCTCCCTGGGGAGCCTGTTCCAGTGCTCCACCACAGAGGTATGCATACTGCTTAAATAGGACACTAGGTGATTCTAGTTCCTTTGTTGCAATATAATTAATTTTGTAATATATGCAATTGAATGTGCAGTTTTCAGCAGTTATAATTACTCTAGAAATTGTAAGATTTTTGTTAGGGTTGTGTTACAAATGTTTAGTTTCAAATGTGAGCAAGTACTTATAAAAGCAAAAAATAAATTTTAACTCTGATACTTACTAAGCCCTCAAAATTTGCGTAAGTTAGAAGTGAGAAATTGTTTGGCATCTTTAAACATGACATGCATGTACTACTTGGTGATAATTTAATTTGTTTAGTAATTGAAATATTTTTGTATTTTCACCTCTATTAAATGCTTATAATTGTGGGGTTTTTTTGTTTAGCTTTGTGGTTGATTTTTAGTAGTAGGGCCACAGGCCTTCGTTTTCCTATCCCTAACCATGCTAAACATGAAATCGTCATTTTTTTTATGTGTAGGGGATGTTGAGATTTCCATTAGTAAAAAGTTAGTTTCTAGAAAGTGGATTTGCTAGAACTGGGATCTCTTTAGATGATATGTTTATTTATGGTCAAGCAGATAGTTCCATTTGTGTTTTGTATTCAACTAGTGTTGTCTTTTGCTCTCAGCATCAGTCTGCAGGTCCTTGGGAACAGCCATCTGAGCCAGCTTTTATTCAAACTGCATTACCATGCCCTCCTTGTGAGGTTCCTATACCAGTGTAAGTATTAAAAAAGAAAACAAGAAAGTTTTTGTATGTAAAGAGATTTTTTTTTTTTCTTTGTATACTGTTGTAGAGTTGGACATGAAAATAACCAATTTTCATCTTCAGATGCCATGAGCCTATGTGAACACCATTCTCATAAAACTCGGAGCATTGGTGGAGGTTTAATAGACATTTTTGTAGCGTGTGCTCACTGTATGAAAGGACTGATAGCGTTAGTAAAGATTGGTTGTTTCTAATAACATGTTGTGCTCAATGCCACCTTAGACAGAGGAAGATGATAAATATTCATTTAACTGCCTACATAGATAAACTTACAACTTAATTTCTCAAGGATTGTACTATGATAGATTGTACTTTTGTTCAAAACTGTGACAGCTCAGTACTTCTGGTATTTGGGCTCAAAATTCAGGGCCAGACTCCCAAAAGGTGAAAAATGTGTAATTATGAACAACTGGTTTCAGTGTTTGGGTGGGTGCCTGGAGAAACTGTCTCATGTAGGTATTCAGCAGAGGTCATTGTGTTATATCATGCATTATGTATTGCATTTTTCCAAGTTCCTCTGAATTACAACCTCAAAACCACCTCCTTTAGTATGAAGAGTCCTCCCCAAAGGAGGTAAGTGCTAAGTGAGAAGGAAACCATGCTGGAGAAGGTGTACTTAATTTTCTAACTAGAGGAAGCATCATTACATTTCATAGTGCTTGGGGCAAAGGAAGTTTCTGTTAGCATTAGATCGCGTTAATTCTGGAATATCCTCACTCTCCTGATTGCTCTTTGCAACTGTAATGTTAGTTTATTTTTCTTTTTTTTAATGAAAGCCATATGAGAGAAATTCCCTGAAGTAACAAAATAATAACAGTAAACAGAGCCATAGATACAAAGTAGTGTGGTGCTACAAAGCAAAATATCTGACACCTTAGATCATTAGCAGGGCTTTTGGAATCATTGCTTAGAACAGTGGCAACTGAACAAATATGATAATGGAGAATAGTTTAAATAGTCCTGTTCTTTATGGATGGATGTTAGTGGGGATTCCATTCTTCACCACTGAGGTTTTGCAATACTTTTGATGTTTTTTCTAATAATTTGGTATCTTATAGAATCATAGAATGGTTTGGATTGGAAGGGACCTTAAAGATCATCCAGTTCCAACCCCCCTGCCATGATCAGGGACACCTTCCACTAGACCAGGTTGCTCAAAGCCTCATCCAGCCTGGCCTTGAACACTTCCAGGGAGGGGGCATCTACAACTTCCTTGGGCAACCTAAGGCAACCTAGGGCAACCAACAACTTCCTTGGGCAGTCTTTGAACATGAGCAATCAGAGATTTGGAATGGAATGTATTTGGTAGCTGTATCTGTAAATAGTTAAAAGAGAGTTCCTGGAAAATTATTTGCTGTATTAATTTCGCAGAACCATTGAGGCTGGAGGGTATCTTAGGGGTGGGGTCATCTAGTCCAGCCTCCTGCTAAAAGCAGATCAACACTGAATTCAGACCAATTTGCTCCAGCTTTGTCCAGGTGAACCTTGAAACCCCTTGAAATCAAGTACATTGATTCTGCAGCCTGTCTGGACAACCTCTTTCAGTGCTTGATTATACTTACACCGATAGGTGTTTTTTTGTTGTTTTTTTGTTTGGTTAGTTTTTTATTTTGTCCTTCATTGTGTATCCAGTCAGAACCATCCTTGTTTAAGAGTATGATTGTTGTCTCTTGCCTCCCTACTGTGAACCTCAGTAAGGAACCTGGCTTCATCTTGTCAGTAACTTCCCCTTAATGCTGAAAGACTACTATTATACCCCCTGCCTGTCAGTCCCCACACTAGGATTTGGTCAGTCCTAGATGCAGGACTTTGTCTCTGCATTTCATGGATTTCCTCTCAGCCTATTCCTCCAATCTGTCTAGGTCCTTCTGAATGGCATCTCTGTCCTCCAGTGTACTGACTGCACTGTCCTTTAGTTTCATCTGCAAAATTGGTGCATCTTATCTCATCCAAGTTACTAGGAAAAAAAAATTAAACAAGATGGGTCCCAGACTGAAGAATTCCACCTGTAGCTGGTGTCCAAGGATACAGACATCTAGCCACTACCCTTTGAACCCAGTGATCCTGAGAGTTTTTCATGCTTCTAGTAGCTCATCTGACACCATTGCATCTCAACTTGAATGCAAGGTTGCCGAAGGGAACCTCATCTGCAGATTTAGTAGCCATGTGGCAGAAGGCAATCAAGCTGGTTAAGCAGTTTCCCCTTGCAGTGGAACAGAAGCATGCTAGAATGGAGTGCAGAGGTCCTAGAAGCCAAATTAACTGGTTATAGGAAGATTTATCTTGGATATAAGGTAATTGAGCTGTGTAGAGTGAAGAATAGGCTCCTGTGCAACATCTGCTTCTTGTTATACTGGGTGAAAGTCTGATTGCTCTTATTAATATCCCACTGTCCTAAAGACCATCTGTAGCTATTGGTAGTTTCCTTGTGTTAGAGAAGTTATCAGGGATACCTTTTTTTTAAATACTCTTCTAGAAATTTTTAGGAAGGAATTTACAGATATTGTAGCTTGAATATTAATGGTGTTTTAATTACTCTCCCTTATAAGGTTTCAGTAGAGAAATCAAAATAATACTTGGGAAGGAGATGACAGATATGAAAGTAAAAGTAAAAAGAAAAAGATACTTTTTAAAATAAGTTGAGCAGAAGATTGATTTAATTTTTAGAAGATCAGTGTTTGAATGAATGACCGTTTAATACTTCCACAATTCTGGTCAATGTGCAGTTTTAATTTCCCAGAGATGATAGACCATTCTGAAAGGGACAGAGTTGCAAACATAAAAGTAGACTAGGTAGTTCTGTGAAATAACTGAAAAATATGAAGTGATATATTAGTAGAGCCAAAGAAGAAGATACTTGGAAGCATTTCAGGTAACTTTCTAAATAAATTTTCTAAAATAAAAATTATTAATATCATATACAACTATAATTAATCTGCACATGAAACTTATTTTGGGATTGCCATCATAAAATACAACAATCCAAACAACTGTTGAAAAATAGAAGGCATTGATCTGCATAGATAGATGATTTTCTCTTAGTTTGCATTTTTTTAAAATAGATTGCATTATTTTTGTTTGAGAAGCACTGTCACTGTTTAAAGTACCTTATTAAAGAAATACGTGTTTTCTAAATCTCTGATTTTTCTCTTTAACAGGGAGTGTCTTGGGCAGCATGAGGTGAGTCATGGAAACTGCCTTTTTAAGTGCAATATGAAGTATATCTCACTTTGTCAGTCTGCAAAAAAGAATATTGAAGAGAAATATCATATGGCTTTTTTATATTTTAAAACCATTGGAGTACCTTATCACAAGGGGTTACATGTCAGAAGGCATTTTAGCTCCTTTTTCAAGAATATATAACTTGACTTTTTAGAATTCTTGGACAGAAATGTAAACATGATTTATGAAGCTATTTGTGTATTATTGCAGTTGTTTAAATAATGTTTAATTTTTTTTAGGGGGACCTTTTTTCATTATATACTTCTGGATTTTTTTTTCCTCATTCTATTGTTATTCTCTCCCTGGCACACATTTCCCTCAGTTTTCCTGAAAAATGCTGTTTATTTTAAAGGGATAAGGAACATAGTGTCATACAGGAAAATTCTCATATGACTTGGATCTAAGCATGCATGGATGAAATCAGACAATATAGTGGAAACTTCTTTAGTATTATTTATTAGCTTGTCTTTTTGATGTGCAGCCTTCTCCAGTATTGGATGAAGTAACTGTTTATTTTTGCTTAAATGAGAAGAAAATCTAATTGACACTTGAAGCTAAATAACTATCATCATTATTCACATTCATTTCTAAAAGTCATGAAATTTAAGATCAAGTAATTTTTTGTCAGTCTTAAAAGATGGTTGCTAAACTAATCTTTAAAAAAACTCTATTGCTATTATAGCTTTGTCTACCAGTCAATCTGATATAAACTCGCTGTCAAGTGCAACTAACAATACTATAACAAGCCTAGTTTCATCTTAAGCTAGTAAAAAATTCTAGAAAACAGTAAACACTTCAAAAGATTTAAAGACATGCCTCCCCCCCATTTTTTTTTTCTTTGACCTTTAATAATCTTTTGGTATGTGTTGTAATGGTGGCTTGATTACATGGCAGCAACATCTGTAAATGATAAAAAAGTCCGCAGTCTGTTTGTGCAGCACGCTTAACTAACCCAACCAAACTGTGAATGCAGCTTCCACAGAGCTACTTTGCAGCTTGTCCTTGCTAAAGGAAAACGTGCTGTGAAAATGGATGAAAAGAACAACTGTGCCTGTTTGTTGTTGAAATGGCTGGGTTATGTTTTTGCTTTCCACAGTAAAAATTGCAGGTGTATCAATCAATATTTTATTGAGTCAATGACATGCTTTGTAATGGGACATATTGAATCTCACCCTAACTTTCATGAATTTGTGTATCAAGAAAGTATCAGCTGTGGTCAATTGACCCAATATATAACTTGCTTTCGACAGTGTTGCTGGTTTTGGTACTGTTCAGATGTACCTGGTTGTGAAGTTTATGTCCCCCATAGCAGAGGACAGTATGGCTCTTCTTATTAGTGAAAATGGTTCCAATTACTACATATTTATAACTACTTATTTCTGAATAAATAAAAACCAAAAAATCCCTTCTCTGTTGCATACTAGTCCCAGGGAGTCTATACCTAACTTTAGTTATTTAGATTTGTCGATGCTATATCATATTCTAGATTGAACCTTCCCTCTGTCAGCCAGCAGAGCGCAGTGCTTCCTTCCTGATGAAGTTTAGCAGTTTCTGGAGTGGAATGAAGCGTCCTAATCTTTGTGATTTTGATAGCATTCAAGGAAAAGAATGATTTGTTAATATGTGTGTGTGAGGGGTTATTTGCAGTGTGTTTTATGTGCATTGTATGTTTTTATGTTGTTCTGAGATCTATAAAAAGAAAAAACCCAACAAACAATGTCTGTTCAGTGTTTGACAGCTACATTAGCTCTTAAGAAATGATCTCACCTCAAACGGCTTTATTTTGTTAACAAGAGAAAACACTTGGATGCGTTTATGAACACTTCCCTCCTATGGTAGTTTCCAGCCCCGAGGGGGTTTTCACCGGGAAATGTGAACTTTTCATGGGTGATGAAAGTAACAATTTTCTTCAGCAAAGTTTTGCTGTGAAGAGGAGCTCATTGCTGTACTATGTTACTACTTATGTTGGACTGTTGTTATACCTCCTATAATGGAGGAGGTATGAAAGCAACAAACCAGGAGTTAAATGAGTTATAAAGGCTGCTTGTATTTTACTGGGATGCCCGCAGACAACGAGTAGAAGCCAGAACGAAAGCAAACTATTCAGGAGTTGTATAATAAGCAAATCTACTGTCTTTACACATTTACTTGGACAGTAATTTTAATTTGTGTAGGTATTGGAGCTGGTTGCTTTGTTGGGTTTTTTGTGTTTTGTTTTGTTTTTCATTTAATTTTGGCATTTAATTTAAAAAGTGTTTTTAAGGTATTGATTTAGTTCAAGCTCTTACATGTCTTTGGGTATTTAGAACAAGAAATTTATCACTTAAAACAGACTTAAGATTTTCAGATTATATAATTGTATAAAATCTGTGTTCAGTAGCAGTATGATTCTACATGGTGCTTAAAATAAGATTTCTTTTGGCTACAGTGTGCAGCCTTCTTTTAAACAAAGTATGATTCTACATGGTGCTTAACCTAAAATAAGATTTCTTTTGGCTACAGTGTGCAGCCTTCTTTTAAACAATTTTACTGTGTACATTTTGGATGTTTTTACATATATTTAGAAAAATTTATAACTCTTCATTCTTTGATTTGTAGATTCTTAAAAATAGCTCTCAATTTTGTTTCGGGTTATAGGTTAAAAAAATCACGTCATCAACAGTTGCTGCCACCCCAAAATGAAAACTTGATGTTTTTTTTTCTCTTTGAGCTGCTAAAAGCATTGGCATTTCATAGCAGTAGCATACATGTGCTGTTTTAAAATCGAATTATGAGAGCTAATGTTTATATTCAAAATCTGTTTTTATGGGAACACATTAATTAAAGCCCATACAAGGTAAATGAGGACAAACAAGGAAATCTTAAGTGGTTATGGTATTAATTTATCTGCTGTGTTTCATTCTCTTGTAGTTGTTTCATTTCATTAAATGTTCTAGAGGAAGGGAAACATTCTGGTTTTGTTTGTGATGAGGATTTTGAGTACTCTGTAATATCAACCTTGCTGTTCTTAGGCAGATAGAACTCTTTTTTTAATGCTATGTTTTATTATTCTAAGTTGTTGGGGTTTTTTTTTTTCACTTGCGGTTCATTTATAGGAGGAAGACCATTACTCTTACCTCTAGGCAAAATTTTATGTAAAACTTGATAAGATTCATCATTATGGCTACATACCTTATGAAGATTTCCAAAATTTCCATCCCCTGTTGTACTTGATTTTTATTTTCATACTGCAGTTGTTGTATCTGTTAGTTGCTTTTATGCATTTGGGAGATGTGCTGGAAAGCTTCTGAAAGTTCCCTTGCCCTTTTTTCTTCGCCTTCCTTTCTTTATCCTGTGGAAGACTTGTGGTCTGAAAATGATACCTCCTTATTTTCTTTCTTTTTCCAATCAACTGTCATAAAATACATCTGGTTCTCATCTGTGTTCTTTGTTCTTCAGCTCATCAGCCTCCTGCAGTTTGTGGCTTCTTTGATATTTGTCTTTGTAGCAAGAGTAGCAACCTCCTTTTAGCAATTTCAGAAATGCATTTCGGCCATAGAAAATAAAACTTTTCTCTTTGGATTTATTACTAATATCTACAACAACTTGACTTGTCAAGAGATTTGAAACAAAATTTGGAAATATAATGTAGGTTTAAATTTAAATTCTTTTGGTTTTGGCTGCAATGTCAGTTGATTCCAGAAGACTCTTATCTTTTATTGGACTCAAGACTTTGGAAAGTCAATGAGTGGGGCAAGCTGAAGCTGTGCTGGATGCAGCCTCAGGGCTGGGATGTTCTCTTCAGTTGACTGTCTGAAAGCTGCTACTGTTGTCTGCTGGCTTGTGTGCATCCCTGCCCCTGGCTTCATTCAGCATTGCATCTCATCTGGTGTACTTGGGGGATGCTTCCAGAACGGATGCTCCACTTCTGTCTGTGTGCTTCTGCTGATTCTCTTTAACTGGAGCTAGTGGCTATGTCCTTATCTGATAGAAGACTGACTCTCAGTAGAAGAAATCTCATTGGCATTGAACTGTGCAGCCATAGAGCTAATCTGTCGTTACTGCCCTGATCTACTGTAGCTGCCTGAGCTGCAGCAGAACCAGTAGTCGTAAAAAATTGAGTGGAAATGGGGGAGCAAGGAAAGGTAGAGAAGTGGGCAGTGGCAGATCTTAATGTTTAGTACACCTTTTTATTTGTTTTTTTACCTTCCAGCATCCTTTGACTACTTATGTTGCTACTGAAAGGAAGTTGTGACTGAGGAAGGAGGAGGAGGAAGATGGAGGAGCATGAGAAAGGACAGGTTATTAGGAATGATAAAAGCTTTGATAATTAGTGTGTGTTCACTGGGTATAGTACTGTTCTCCACTTCAGACCCTCTTTTTATTAAGCCTGGCTTTTGGTCAACAGAAACATAAGCCATCAGAGACTGAGTTGTGGGGTGTTTGCAGGGTGGAGTATGAACCAGGCATTCAGACTACTCGCCACTAGTGCTTTAGCCAGCGTAATGGGCTTCAGCTCTGACATAAGGACGGGAGAGTAGTTGGATATGATAGCCTCAAGGTTTTCTCCTGTCTATTCCATGCTTTCAACCTGCCATGCAGATGACTCCTGTTCCTAGAGCCTGTGTGGGTCAGGATGAAAAGACAAGGAGTTCAGAAGTTTTGTGAATGAATTACGTTTTGCAATTACTTGATGTGGAGTACAGTCTTTTTTGGGTGAAGCCTGGGAAACATTTCTATAGGCAAGGATTTAGGATTGAGGGAAATCGACATACACAGTGCTGAAGGGAGAAGGTCCCTTGCTGTGCCCTGGGGGGACCATTCTCTCTTCCCTTGTTTGAGTTCCGGTGCTCATCTGAGTGTGTATGTCCAATCAACTAACAAACCTAACTAAAGACAAGGAACTATTTTCTGTTAATCCTTTTTTCCCATTTTGATTACTTGAATTGTCTTGCTCTAAACACAGGTGTGTGGTGGTACTTAAAGTAAGTGGTAGGATTGTAGAGTTGGAAGAGAGAAAAGAAGGGGTACAGTGCAAAGCTGTTCAGTCAACTTAAGCTGTGACACAAAATCACACCCTTAGTCTAGTCAAAGTGAGTCATGTCACATTAGCCCATTGTGTAATAACATCACAAATAGTTTCTGTTTTTCTCTGCAAAATGATCATGATATTAAGAAAGCAATTTTTTTTGACAGCATCACAGAAACTAGTTTTTTTTTTTCATGTGAATATTATATAATGGTTGGAAAATGGGAACAACAAGTTTCCTCTAATACTTGTGTGATGCAGGGACTTGTATTATTCACCTCTAGGAAAATAACCTAGTTAACCAAGTTAGGCATTTACACTCCATTTCAGGACCAGTGAAGCTCTGTTAACTGCATTGTTAACCTCAAATTGGAAAGTACAAATATATCATAAGAAATTAAAATCCTAGTCTTGTCATAGAGCCATTTCTCCTTTCCCTTCCCACTCCTGTGAGTTATATTTGATATAGTCAGTATTTAGTTTTTAGAATTTCTGGCTTGCATGTTGTTTTCTGTTGAATTGTAAAATGTTTTGGGTTTATGATGACCATAACACAGTTAACCTTGTGAAAGTGAGCTGTAACTCTCTTCTGTAATAACTGTAAAGCAGTTTAGGAACCTTTAATGGAAGGCACAAGTGTAATTTGGAAAGAAGGAATAAAGCACACTAAAAGATTTGAGAATGTCAGAGTCTGTTTGAAACAAACTAACTCTTGCAAAAGTTAGACAGCTTGTTTAGTTAATAAAGTGGGCTTTTTTACCTTGTATAATCAGTGTAAACCAAATGTATGTGCCTATGTTGGAAGGGAAACGTAAAGTCTATTAATGAAAGGTCAAATAGACATTGCACTGGCTTTCTTCTTTTAACAAAGAAGCTCAAGAACAAAAATTTCTCTGTAATGATGCTGTGCCTCTGTGTGTGTGTATATATATATGCTGTGTATACACATGGATGTATCACACACAGTACACGTGCAATGCGTGTGTATATATACACTATCTGCATATTTATTTATTTATTTTTAACTTTTAGGTCAGTCAATTACCATGTCACTCTGCAAATCCCTACTCCTGTAAAAGATTTTGTGGACGGCTTCTTGATTGTCAGAATCACACCTGTATGAAAGAATGTCATCATGTCACTAAACTGAACAGTAGTACAGATGGAAAGAAGGTAGGTTTATTTCCCTTTTGCTTTTGTTCTTCTGTATTTTGTACATTGTCTTCAGTTTCAACTGGAAAATAAAGAATTTGCAGCTGCAAGGCACAGGATCTATTCCAGATTCCACTGGGAGACTGGCATGTGTTCTGTTCCCACTGATGCTGTGACATTTAGCTAATCTATACTTCTTTAGACTATGAAACTGAGACAATATTACATATTTTGCAAATGCTACACTTTTTTGTATATGTTAACATACATTACTTTTTTTTTTTTTTTTTTATCAAAACCTTATTTCACACTCTTGACAAGTCTCTTCTAAAATCAGTATTTGTAACTGTCAAGATAAAGTGAACTGCTGATGATCCCTGTGTACAAATGCACTTGCAATCTACTGGGGAAACTATTTACTGAGGAGGGCTGTAAATGGGTTGAGGAGGCCAGCAGATCTTTAGGAGAGCATACTGGAAATGTTGGAGAACAGGTGAAGACTTGAGGCAACCCCAACCACAAATACAACTGTATATATTGTAGTTACCATATTATTCTATTAATGATTGTGAAACTTTTGTCTGAGGAGTATCAGCCGTTAGTGCAACTTGTGGAACAGTAACCAGCGATACAGTGACATCAGGAAATACTGAGTGACAGTTGTTTAAGAATCCCCAGTTATGACTATAAGAGGGTGTCTGCCTACTCCTTCAATTAAACCAATTTAAAGGTGAATGGGTCAGGATTATTCCTAGTTCCAGTTTGAACATTCTCAGAAAATTGGAGTCTATGTATGAGTAAAGTATGGGTAAATCTCATTTCTCAATTTTCTTTGAATTTTTATAAACTCAAGTTGGTTTTGACCTTTAGAGCTTTTTTTCTGTTGTTTTGTTAGACTACATTGCAGATCTAGTCAGAAAAGGGCTGATTAAATTTCCTGCTTAAATGTCCAAGTAGTGTTTTTTCTGTCTGAAATTTAGGTTTGTTCTGCATGTTGTGTAAGAAAATGTTTCAGAAAGACCAGCTGTTTACTTCTACCTGCTGTTAAGTTCTATTTCACAGTTTTCTAAATGCTTTCAGTTGCTATTGTCTTTCTTAGATGTGAATTTTTGGGAGTTAGGTTTTGTAAATGATCACTGTAAAAAGGTTCCTTTTTAAACTTCATCAAAAATTGTTCAGCTGTAGAAGCAGAAGAAAAGGGGACTGGAAGAAAATGGGGGAAGACTGTATTAAAAACTTAAATTCTTATGCCCTTATTCTGAACAGCATGAAGTGAAATGTTGGTGTGGAATTAGTCCTTTTGGGGAAGCATTCTGTACTTTCATTCTTAGATAAATTGGCTTTACTTGACTGACTTCTGTGAAACTGAGCATTTAAATGTGATAGTGGGCCTTAAATACTGTGCTGTGCAGACTCAGTTAATGAATCACGTTGATCTATCTGTATGTATTTGCAGACTGGGGCTCTGGATAAGTTATTAAGATAAGAATATGAATAGAAATGGAGTTTAATTTACTGTGCTGATCTTTATCACATTGTGCCGATGTTGATCGCGTCACCTGGAATGAGAATGACACTGCAGCTCTTGTAGACTTTGTGTAGTATATGGAGTGGAAGCAACACTTTAGCAGCTCCCAGCATATATCTAAGCTAATACTTGCTGGAAGATTATACAAACTATTGTACACACATGGAAATGCAATGACTTCTTACAATCAAGCAAACAAACCTCCCCACCCCTGTATTATGGACCAGTATATCAGGACTAAAGTAATACGTTAACATGGTAGATGGGAAAAGTTAATTCTGAATGTGAAATTACTTCTTTTTCTAACAGTTTTTCATAGAGAATTAACAGGCTTAATGGCAATTTTCCAAAGCACTAATATTAAGAGGTCCTTTTATTCTTAGGAAGCAAAATAGAACTCTGTCTCTACCTAACAAACACTGGCATTTCTTGTTTCTTTTAAAAGCATATTTTAATTATAATTTTTGCTTGAGGGATATCTTACTGAATAGCTAGATTCTCTCAACAAAAGCACCCCAGCTCTTTCTTCTATATAAAAGCTTGTTAATGGCATTTAGCAAACAAATGTTTGTCACTTTCTTTAGTACTTTGTTTTTATTTTGTTAGGCAGGTCCAGAATGTTCGCAGTGTGAAGAGGAGTGTACCAAGTCCCGGCCATCTGGCTGTCCTCACCGATGTGTTTTGCCCTGTCATCCTGGGGATTGCCCATCATGTCTCCAGATGCTTAAAATAAAGTGTCACTGCAAACTATCAGTACTGTATATTGAATGCTTGTAAGTGTCAGGACTGAACCTAACTTTTAATTTGAATGCTACCAACAATTTGAAATGTCTGGAGATGGCAAATTATAAAATTTCTCTTGAAGGTTATAATTTGTAATATAATGGAATTTTTTCTATTTAAAATTTGCCTGTGTTTTATTTGGTATTACTGGTAAAATTATTGTAAATGCATGGAGTCTAATGAGCAGAACTGGTTTTATAATGTTTTTATAATGCAGGAATATTTTGAATTATGCAAATATATAGTAATCTACATTATATTTTATCTATATGTGGTTCTTTTACAGTATATAAAGAAGAATTGTATAACAAGAATTAGAATTAGTGTAGTTAATGTAAAAGGTCTTTACAACCACTATCCTTCAAACTCTAGTTGTTTTAATTGGAAAACTTGTTAGTAATAATTTGTACTGCTTTTTAATCGTTTGTGTGTGTGTGTGGATAGAGAAGGTAAGCTGGGCTTTACTGAATAAGATAGGACTTGTGGATTTAAGCATTATCCTTTGCATATTGCTCTGAAAACATTCATCCCATGCATATATGTACTTCTTTGAAGATTTTCTTTAAAGTACCTCAAATCCTCTAAATTTTTGTGGCTTTGTCTGTAAAATAGTGTGGTTTATATTAATGCCACAGGATGTGGACAAATGAGCCCATTTTTCTTTACAGTGAGATACACTTAAAATATACCCCTAATTGTATTGACTTTTGTTGGTTTTAATTTGTAATTTATCACAAATACATCTTTTCTTTTACAGAAAACTAACATGTGCTGATTTAAAAGAAAAGGAGCTTCTTATTTCCTGCAAAAACCAGTGTCCAAAAGAGGTAAGCTATATTAACAAAGAAATACTTGATTTGATGGATGTGTGGAATTTTGTGGATTTTACTTTTTTGTAAGGTTTTTGATACAGTTTCACAGGTCAAGCAAACTAGAGAAGCCTTGTCTAAATGAATATGTTAAATGATAGATGTGAGGGTGGTTAGTGAACCGCACTTGGAGAAGTTGCTAGTGTCTTGCTGTCAAACTGGAAGGTTATACTGAAGGATCAGAGATTTGTCTTCAAGGCATTAGTAGCTTGAATGTTTAAGCATGCAGATGAGGTTGAATGTGGAAGAATATGTCCTCTAATATGGTTAAAAACTGGTCTTGAATTTGTATCCCCAAAATAATGGGATGCTCTTTGATTAGGAAGAATACTGAGAATTGTGCTTGTGATTGTTCTCATTTAAGTGCAGGTCTAGCAATCTCTGTCTGTGCAACAGTTCTGAGACAAGGGGGAGCGGGGGAAGGATTTGATACTTAACAAGCGAGATGAGTTAATAATGCCCTGCTGCAATAGTGAAATATATGTTAAGTGGGGTGAAACAGAAGACAAGCCAGTTAATCTTTCTACGGTATCTGGGTTTATCTAAAGGGTTGCAGTGAAGAAGAGAAGAATAATATCCTTATTGGATGATGCTTAGACTATGAACCAGTGTGTGTAGGCATCGGTAGGGAAGATTCCTGTTAAATACTACTTTTGAGTAGTAAAGCTTGTGGAGCAGGGGAAGAACTAGTTGGAGAAGCTACCACATTTTCATCAGTAACAGCTTAGACGTGTATCAGGATTTGTCCAGTTGTGGATAGTACTGCTATAAGACAGGAGGGATGGGCCAAATGACTTCTTCCTTGTACTTCCTAGTGCTGATGTTGTGTCCTGCTTGTGTGCTTTCAGAAATCCATGCATTACTTATTTTTGTATCTTTGTTCTTTAGTTGTCATTAGTTGTGGTGAGAGTGACAGCCCTTTCTTCACTCCGTTCTCTACTGTAGGGTTAGAAAATTTATGAAGTGAAAAAACAGGAATAGTCAGGAATATTTTGGAAATTGTTTCCACTGATGAACTCTCCAGAATTTCAGATATTTTTTTTTTTTTCCTGCAATAAAAATGCTTGTACTGAAGAAAATATTTTATCCCATAATCACTTATTATTTTGATGTTCTGTTTTGGCCTTTTACTGTGTAGCTGAGTCTTTGTCTCACACAATATTTAGCTGGTATTCATAAACAGTTTGATTCAACCCTTCAACAGTTTGATTCTCCTTCCCTGATTCACTCAGTTCCCTTATGCTGGTTTACCTATGATGTCCTCTAGCCTGAGGTTTCTGTCTTCTTACCTCGTCTCTTGTAGTTCTGGATTCTGCCTCAACTGAGTAAATGTAGGTTCAAAACTTTTCTTTTGTTTCATTATTTTCCAGTGTCAGAAGCATAAAATTTGAATCCTTTCCTTTTGATTTTGAGTAAATGCAAATATGCACAGGGTGTCTGCTTTTTTCCCAACAGTGTCTGTTCCTCTGTTTTTCAGGCAAGATTGTGTTAACCCCAACAGGAAGGCTGTGCTGTGTGCCTACTTGTATCTTCTGCTTTTTGCCCTTGTAAATGCCTTTCTGATGGTTTTTTTTGTGTGTGTGAATGAATGTGCCTGTCACAATTTTCTCATCTGGATGTCTGAAAGCTCTGGCAGGGGAACACTTTTGGATATTATTTCGTTGTCCATTTACCTCTTAATTTTGTCCTTTCATTTCCCTCTCTGTTATTTTCATTTTATTTGCTTCAAGACTTCCTCCTCTTTATTTTCAAGAGTGCTTATAGTCTCTTACCATGAACTATGTGTTCCTGTACTTCAGCTTCTCTTCAAAGATTTTTTTTTTTTTTTTTCTGTATCTCATCTTTGTCTTTGATTAATATAATTGTTGTGATTTTTCTGGACATATTCCCAAGACTCTGTCTGGGATTTAAAATTCATCTAGTAGTGGTCCTGAATTCTATCTTGCAGTTCAGAATTGTCCTGTTCCATAGATTATGTTGTTTTTAATTAATTCAGTGAGATGTGAAAGAAAGCTTAGGCCAACAGAGTCCACTTTAGTTTTATAAAGCTTTTATTTAACTCTAAAATTCTCATTCCTATATATGCCCTGAAAAATAAGGGTTTATGCAGTTTCTGCTATCCAGAGAATCATTTTAGTGTACTTGATGATGTAAAAGTGCATTATCTGCCCTTCCTGTGAAAGGAGCAGCCTTAGCAGACATCATCACCCTACCGCTACCACCACTGCCGCCCCTCCCCAGCAAATACAGATCAAGCCCATTGACGGGACCTCATGACAAGAACTTAGAAAAAACTTGGCCAAAAGCTAAGATGGATAAGACTACCAAGTTTAGAACTTTTAAAGTTTACAAATAAAATATGTCTGATCAAAACTAAATTGGAAATATTTTGTGTGTAGTCCTGACAGCCTAAATTAAAATTTAATTTAATGTTTTATGAGAATTTTCTTATTCAATATCAGAAGCTGACCTTGGGTCATTAGCAGAGCTCAGTGAAGTTGCTGTTTGCCAAAAATCGGTATGCACTCTAATTCCATGAAGCTTAGCATAATGCTGCTTAGGTTCAATAGAATATAGTATTTTACTGAAGTCTTAGTTTTGAGATGTTTTTGGTTAATGGAAATTGTGGCAGACAGTATACTACCATATTTGAAATACAGGTAGCATGGTACATTTGGGGATTATGAAAATCAATTATATTGTCTGGTGCCTTGAAAAACTACAACAAGAACTTGAAAGTCTTGAATGGTTTCATGCTTTTGTTTTGGCAATGTCAGTATAAAACTACAAAAATGACTCCTAGTATTAGACAGTACAGTTCACATTTCCTTTCTGCTTTAGGGAGAAGCAAAGTCTTTGATATTGCCACAGCTGTCAGATGAGAAGCTTTAATTAATAAAGTTCTTTCTCTTGTTTGGTACCAATAACAAAATATCCTGTTGAAGGACATTTAACTTTTTTTAATCAGGGGTGATTAAATTCTTATGATCATGTTTTCAGATGTTTTACTAATACTTTCATATTAGTATTTGTGAATCTGTGTTTAACACTTTATTCTGTGTAATTAGTATTTTTTGACAAAAAAACATGTCCTTTATAGTTTCACTGTGGACACTGCTACTGTCTTGGTATGAAACGTGGGACCGCATTGTGATAAAATTATTTTTACATGATAGTGCAGTAGAGACAATGTTATAATTTTTAAGAGTATATGTATGGTTTTTTTAATAAATGAAATACATTTTATTTCCAGAATGCTTAATTAAATTCTGTAAACACACCTTGAAAATGTATGTGGGTTGCAAAAATTTAATTTTAAAAGGCAAATGCAAAGCTTTGGTCCATAATGAGAGGACTTTCCTCAATGTCTGGCTTTAGCAGTGGAGGTTCTAGTAAGAGCTCTGGAATCAGGACCACCCTTTAAACTAAAGAAGTCTGCCCCTTTGTTTGTAAATGATAAAGTTATCTTTTGTACTCCCTTTTGGGATTGCTGCTCCAAAGTGCTATTTTCATTATTAACAGGTTATTTTCTTTATTATCAGTTGTGTATTAACAGATAGTGTTTACTTTATGGTGGAGATCAGTTAAGCCTCCATAAATGTTGATGTGTTTTATCATCATCAGACATAATGTTAAGATTTAAATGTATTGCCTATGAGAAAAATACTTGTAGGATTTTTTGGTTTGTTTTGTTTTCAGAGCTGTGGATTAAATCCCTTTCTTTTAAAGGCCTTGCCTTGTTAAACATAAAGCCTGTTCATTTTGTCCTTCAGTCCACAAGCTATGGACAAGAGATCTTATCTGGTGAAAAAGGTCTAAAGGGACATGTGCTTCCTATTTTAGCACCAAGTGGCTCAGCATGGACCCAAAAAAAATCCTTTCCCACTACATTATTTATCCAGCAGAAGGTTGCTGCTGTTTTCCAAGATCACGGGGCAGTGTTGTTTTGCCACTCATTTCACTGCTCCACCTGAGTTTGTGGGGTTTTTTTTAACGTTGGGTTTGCATTGGAAGGAGTAAAAAGGAAGTTACACTGCCAACTTTATTTTAGTCCTGCATCCCTGTGGATGTGAACTGTGTAGCTCTATGCAGAGAACTAAATGTGCAAATTTGGGTTTCAGTATTGCATTAAACGTATTTCTGTGCTATGCGAATTTTGCTTTAATGGTGTGTAATGTAAGAATTTTCTTGCAATAGCACCTGGAGGTTGAGGGTAGGGCTACTGTCTTGACTTTGCAGCTCTAAAATGTCGCTTATGAGACTGTTTGGGCTTTGACACTATGAATGGAAATGTGCCTAATTACTTCCAGCTTACTCTTCCATACTAATAGTTCTAACCATGGGTTGTTTTGGCCAGCATGGGATGACATGCAGGTGAGACTGGATAGTGTTATTGTGGATGATGCTCTTGGGTAAGGGCCCTCTTACTGCACAGAGGTCATGCAGAAACAAATTGGTTTTGTAAAGATCGTGGTCACTAGTGAGCAGACGCAGCTGTTAAACTCTGTGGCCCTGGCTGGTAGGCTGACTTTAGCACCATACAAGGCTTAAAGGCAAGTTTCTCCCCTCATCTTTTCAAAATGAGGCAAAATGCAAGATAGATTTGCTGATGATCAGTTGTGCCTGAACAAATATCTCATCTTTGAGATCACCAATTTATATTTTTTCCTTCTAGGTAAAGCTAATAGATTAGATGTGCTACCTAAGGATTCAGCAGAACATTTGAGTCAATGCCACTTAGTCAGTAGCTAGTTCAGATACAGAAGAAGATTAATACAAGGATGAAGGTGGGCTAAAGGAAACAAATACTTGTATTTTATTATTTTTAACCCCTCTCCCCCGAAAAAAATCTAAAACAACAACAACAAAACTAAATAGAAAGTTGGAGCAAGATGTTAACAATAAGGAAATTTTCCCAAGGACTGGATTGATCCCTGAATTTGCATTGTTTTCAGTAGTGACCTTGACACCGAAAAACATTGGAATTTTTTGATGAAAACTTGTGGAGAGTTGTCAGGAAATGACAACTGAGGAAACACATGTGTTTGGGACTTGTTATTAGATACAGAAAAAACAGTAAGACCATGCGTGTCAAGGCTAATAATAAGCTCACAGGAGATGGCAGAACTTCTTCTTATCACAGCATGATTAGCTGGAGATAAATGCAAATGAGAGCTGAAGATGTATTGGGGAAGATATTCTATCAAGAATAAGGTGCAATTAAGGCATGGTACAAAGTCCTTCCTAGTCATTTGGAATATTACATGCAGTTCTGGGTACTGTATTCAAGAAACACTGATTTAATCTGGTTGAAATTCAATCAAGGGAATACTATGGGAATAAAGAACCTTTTATGAAAGGACTGCAGAGAAATATTTCAATGTGAGGGGGAGAACTAAGGGGTTTAGACTGGCTAGAATAAATGTAGGAAATTCAAAAAAAGCTCTTATATCTTGTAGTGAGCTCCTGGAACAGTTTCCTTAGCAAAACAGTAGAAAGGGGGTAGAATGGGGGGCTGTTTTTATGGTAAAGCTTCATCCAGTCCCAGAGGGATCGTAGGAGATGCCTGCTTTTAGTAGGACTGGACTTCAGAACTGAACATGGTGACTTCGAGATTCCTTCTAGTCCTATGTTAAATGTGCTGAAAGTGTGACTAAAAAAAATGAGCCTAAACTGCGAAGTATCTGTCAGTGTAATAATAGCTTGTGACTGGCATGGACATAAAAATATGTATCTCTATTCCATAATTTTTAGTTGGGAAGTTTTGCGTTCTGTTTAGGTGTGTGTTTCATGATACTAGCTCCGTTTGTGCCCTCGTGGCCAGGAAGGCCAATGGCATCCTGGGGTGCATTAGAAGGGGTGTGGTTAGTAGGTCGAGAGAGGTTCTCCTCCCCCTCTACTCTGCCCTGGTGAGGCCGCATCTGGAATATTGTGTCCAGTTCTGGGCCCCACAGTTCAGGAAGGACAGGGAACTGCTTGAGAGAGTCCAGCGCAGAGCCACCAAGATGATTAAGGGAGTGGAGCACCTCCCTTATGAGGAAAGGCTGAGGGAGCTGGGGCTCTTTAGCTTGGAAAAGAGGAGACTGAGGGGAGACCTAATTAATGTTTACAAATATGTTAAGGGCAAATGTCATGAGGATGGAGCCAGGCTCTTCTCAGTGATGCCCAACGACAGGACAAGGAGCAATGGGTGTAAGCTGGAACACAGGAGGTTCCGCTTAAACTTGAGAAAAAACTACTTTACAGTGAGGGTGACGGAGCACTGGAACAGGCTGCCCAGGGAGGTTGTGGAGTCTCCTTCTCTGGAGACATTCAAGACCCGCCTGGACGCCTTCCTTTGTAAAATTGTTTAGGTTCCTGCTCCGGCAGGGGGATTGGACTAGATGATCTTTCGAGGTCCCTTCCAATCCTCAACATTCTGTGATTCTGTGATTCAGTTCCAATGGATTTATGAGAATCCAAATTTAGTAATCAACAAGAAGTGTATACATCTGGGGTTTGTATTTATCTTATGTAGTAGTCTCATTCTTGTGGATGATGTAGTATGTATACATTTTCAATTTTTAATAAATGTGAAAAAACGTATCTTAAAATTGTACATCTTACAGCATTTTCCAAGTTGTGTTAATCCCTTGATGACAGTGAAGAGGTGAAATTTGACTTTGAGTAAAGAATACTATCTAATGCCATTTCAAATAGTTTGGGGATTTAAAGCTATGTCTATAAATAAATCGATTGGATGTCTTAGGTGAGATTACACTTTCAGTTATTAACAGTATTGGATGATGTAATTGAAAATGAAAAATCATTATTGTGAGGGTTTCTTACAGGTATGCGTATGAGCAAGGTATATTTTCAGTCAAGTTCTTAACAAAAAGTGGAAAAACTTTACTACTTGACACTTTTATCTAATAATAATGCTGGGAGCACTGCTACATTTCTAACAGTCAGTATATTTAAATTAGTATCTCAATTCTTAACACAGTAATTGAATTATAATATTTTCATTATAAATGTTAAAAATTGTGCAGGCAAGTAAAAAAAGTCTCTATCTCACAGCTCTCAGAAATGGAATAACCTGCCAGATGCAGAAATTCAGGATTTTGTGAAATTATTTTGACCATAAGAATATTGGTGGCCTATATTTGACTTTTGCATAGTTCAGAAGATTCTTGCATGCAGAATTTTCTTTTGTAGTATTTTTGCTTCTGATTCTCCCCTCTTTCTTTTGTTGACTCTAATCTACAAGTTGGTACAGTACACTTAACATCAGTTTTCAGTTTCTTTTTACCTTATCTACTCATATTCCTCCAAAATGCAGATAGCTAGGGCTGGTTATTAATCAAGCTGTGCCAGTGAAAAATAAATAGTTCTACAGGAACTCAGGAACTGAAATATGGTGAATAACAAGCAAATATTTGGAGAAAAAAAAAAAAAAAATCAACTATTTCACAAGTGGAGAAACTGATAAGCTGAATGAGCTTTCTGTTAAGCTAATGTGTCTGAAATAAAACCAGTTCATAGATTCTTCACAATTTTACAATAATTTATTGATGTGGGAGTTTTGTTTGTGTTTTTGTTTAGTTGCCCTGTGGTCACCGATGTAAAGAGATTTGCCATTCAGGTAGCTGTCCCCTGAACTGCAGCCAGAAGGTTAAACTCCGATGTCTCTGTAAGAGACTGAAAAAGGTAAAATTGTAAAGTTACAATTTTGAGAACAATGTGTTTTATTTGCATGTTCCTAAGCTTCTATGGATGGATTGTCTTAAGTGTAGATCAGAGCAGGTTCAGTTACTGCTGAACTGTTAGAGTTATAACAGTTCACATCAGCTGAACATCTGGGCTGCAGTATTGGAAGATTCACTGGAGAATATAAAATCCTGGTAGTTCTAGAATATGTTAGCTGCCTGACTTTAAATAGCTTTCTCTTCAAGCACACTTAATTTTTTTTGTAGCTCTATTGGGAGAATAGTTAGATGACCTGGAGTGATTTGAGAAGAAAAAATACATTTTTCTGACAATATTTGGAAAGTTTATAATTGCATAAGTTGGAACAAACACAGATGTTGTGAATCCCTAACTAATGTAATCCGTTATGGTTCTCTGCATACCTAAAAGCAAGTACAGGCATCAGCATCCTGGGCTTCCAACAAAGATAAGGGACAAAGTAATGTAACAAATTTATTATAGCTATATGGTATTATGAGGGGAAGAACAGAAATTAATGTGAAGTCTTGGCAAATAATAATGACTTAATTAAAAAATTATTATCTGGCTTAATTAAAAGGTGCTTAAATTATTTTTCTGGACCTGGTTGACTTCTGAGCCTTCCAAACAGGCTGCAGTTCCCCAGAGTTCTCAGCTTCTCCAAGAAATGTCTTATGCAACCAGAAGTCTTGCAGGTGGGGTGTTCAG